AACCAAACAATTATAGATGTTAAGGTAAGTAAAGCTTTATAAATATTTAAAATCAGAGGGTGGTGAAATTGAACAGTGAAAAATACCTTTAATCCACCGATAAATACCTGAACAAGGCACGCACGGATGCTAGGAGAATTAACCTCTGTCGAACTGATACACCTGACACTGCGAGCCCCGAGATGTTTCTCTCTGACAAGACAACTAGTAAATACAAAGAAAATGCGAGAAACACAATTATCTTTGTACACTACATTTTTCTTTGGCAAAAGTTTTGAAATTTTGACATATAAAAGATTAATATTTTTCATGATTTTTAAAAAAACAACAACACTTACACCAAATTGTAATTATTTTTAAGAATACTCACGTGCAAGATGGTTTGGAGTCACTTATAAACAGACTTTCAAAATCAACATGGTATTAGCATTTATAGAATATTTCAAACATAAAAAAAACTAAATTTAAGATAAAACAAAATTGACCTTTTCCTTCTTAATACATTAAATTGAAAAATATGCATCCACTTACGTTATTACAATGTAATATAATGGTTATAACAGTATTCATAAAAAAATATAATAAGCATTACTCATTTTATTTATTATAGGGACGAGGAAAGCATAGAAATTTAAAAATATAACCAATTATTTGATTTAAAATTATGTATGAGATATGTGGAGATAATGAACAGTATTCAAGCGCAAAAGTCCATAAAGCAACACAAAATAGGAGCACAGCATACATGGACCTGCAAAACATCAGAGGTGGGATCATGTGCAATGTATAGTATTTCGAAAATAGAAAATATTATTTAAAGATCTGAATAAATCAATTTGTTTTAATAATTAGTACTGATCGCTGAAATACGGCTGCAATATTGCCGACTAGTCGTAAAACAACAAAAACCAATCGAATGACTGATATAAAATTTTTCTGATTTTGATTTAGTCTTATATTTTAGCATGGAATAACTGCCAAAAAGGAATTGTCATGAAATGCAATTATGTTCATCAGAAAAAATTAAAATATGGAATTAAAATATGTGCAAAAAGGTCTCACATAACCCTTTGGTAATATAATTTGTGAAAATATTCAGTTCCTAGGGGTCATGCAGAAAAAAAATTAACGAAGCAATTTGCAAAGTCTCATTGGCATTAAAAACAGTTAACACTTTTCACTGTCAAGTATAATAATAGAGTGTTAGTTGTATTTATCAAAAGAATTTTCCTTGCACTGAATGTAACTAAATTGAATATTACCTCGAATTTCCAGTGTTAGGTAAGAACTGTTCCGCAGATTTGTAGCATTTTATTTAGATACATGTAGGTCTTCAGATTTTTCAATGAATGTTTCTAAATTCTAAACCTTATAGGCGCCCGTGTTATTGTTTCAAGATAATTATCTTTTTTATTTGATATTTTGATTGTTTTTGATTTTGAAAAATAGTTTTTTTCATCAGGACATATTCTTTAACAAGGGTACTATTTCCCTGAACTTTAGAAAAATGAAGCAGTTGTCGGGAATTTGGCCCCGACGAAGCTACTCATAGAGGATGCATATATATTCTAATATAGTACGTTATTGATTACATTTGCGTTGTATAGTAAGGTATTTTTATGAATCTTTAAGCTTATGCATGATGCATTTTCACAGGCACTCTTTAACACATATGCTTCTATTTTTAATCATATGAATAGCACATCCTTAAATTCTAAGATAAAATCATGATTGAATGATTTCTTGAATGAAATAAATATCTTTTTTCCTGAATATTGCAGGCATTTAAAATACCTGAATTTTAACGTTTTTGTAAACTGACTAATTTATTATACTTGCTAAACTTGCTTTCACTTTATGTATAGTTTTTTTTCCATATCAAAACTAGACAGGTCTAAAAATTAAAAAAAAAATATTTCATTCATGGATATGATGGGATTTTAATTTCTTGTCACCTGTAAAAGACTTTATAGGCCGAGCCACTCCTGCTCTCGAATAAGTATATAGGAATTTAGTGCAAACGTTTTAAAAACCTTAATTCCATGATTAATTCGGCAATACACAATCTTCTTATTCCACCAAAGCTTTTCACGGAGACTACCTTAGAATTTTTATTTTAAACATTTCCTGTTTTTCTAAAAGGAACTTAAATACATCTACACTGGATTCATTGGCTAACATTTTCTGTTATTGAACAGTAACGGGTTTATCCGTTTGAAGTCTTTTCAAAACAATCATTTAAAATTAAAAACAAATGCATGCATTCATGTTATCATAGTTCCATTCTCTTTGAATTACGCTAAAGGAAAGTAATTTTAAAGCTAAAAAGATAAAACAACATTTCCGAGTTTTATCCAATAAACAGTGAGACATTCTTAGAAAAAAAAAATGAGAATAATGGTTATCTAAAAACAACGAGAAAAATTACAATAAAAACAGGTATTTGCCTCAATGCATAGAGTCAAGTTTAAAAACATTAAGATTTATTTTTTTCTCTTTTTGTGAGACATATGTTGAGTTAAATTATAAATGATTTTTAAAGATATGTGCTGTGCTTTGATAACATTTCTAAATGCACACAGCGTATGGCCCAACTAGATCTAAGTAACTCAACCTTCACGTTGGTTTTAAATTGGAACATAATACTAAAAATCCCTTTCGCTAAAAGCATAGGCTATGTATAAGGTATGCATCATTAATTTAAAGGCATAGTCAAATGTCTATTTTTAAACTGGGTCAGACATGATTCACGTGACATATATAAATTGAACATAAAAGTATACAAAGACACCACCTGAAGAATGAATAAAATTTGACAAATCTGACAAATTGGAATGCTATTTCTTTTTATGCTTCAAATAGACATAAATAAAATCTAGTCCTTTCCAAAACACACAAGCCAAGTCTCAAGAAAAAAAATATCGAAGATTAAATACGAGTTGATTTTACCGAGGAGGTGTACTTCAGTTGTGGATACCAAAAAAATTTTTTTCAGAAAATTGAAATCAGAAAAAAAATACCAAAATCAACAACAACAAAAATTACGACTTTTTAACTTTATATACAAGCATTCCCACGATAAATTAGAGTCCAGGCTTTTTGTGATCATTGACAGTGGCTTTTCAATAAAAATGAAACTCATAAATTAACTTATCTCGTCATTGTTCATTTGCAAGAATATTTTGTTAAATAATATTCTGATTGTACACACAAGTGCTCTGCTCGATGGGAAAAAATGTCTGAGATCCTGATTGAAAATATCTCTATGGTTTTTAGAGACCAATGCAGGTCTTCAAACAATCTACTGATATTCCAATGGGTACCAATTGCACCCAATTATAAGCAGATCTATTTCTGTATTCGTATGAAGCAGAATTTCTCCAAAATCTTATAAGTTAAAAGAAAGAAACACATCTGTTTCATATTTGGGTATTTTACTTAAAAAAAAAACGTTAATGGTAATCTAACAAGCAAGAGCTCTATGATAAACATGAAGACTTCAATTTTTCTATTGTCAACTTCCCTTACTTATGCAGCAATATACCCTCATCACCTGCATACGGAGTTTATGTATCTCAGTTGATTCGATATGCAAGAGCATGCTCTACGTATGAACAATTTCTAAAGCGAGGTAGATTATTGACAAACGAGTTGATGAAACAAGAATATCAGCAATGTCGTTTAAAGTCATTAATGGGAAGTTTAGGAAGTCGTGTCCCATCTAAAGTCTTAATACATGTATCGAGGTAATTTTCCAGGAATAACTGAGTGAATTACAATTAAGGGGCTTGACCTCTTTAAAGACATCTGAAACGATTCGTTTGAAAAGAAAAATTTTATAAGCGAACGATTTTGATTGAAATAAACGATTCTTAAAATTGTGTTGAAAAGAAAAAATTTAAAAGCGAACGATGTCATTTTAAAGAAGATTAATGATTGAAATATTAACAAAATAAACAAAGTAAAAGCTTCAAATTTAGCAATAATACAACCTGTAGACGGAAGTGATTTGAAGCGAGGGGAGGTAATGACTGATTCATAGATCTAGCAGCCATGATGTTTGTTTACATTAAAATTGTAAAGTTGAAGGAAACCTTATGGTTAAAAACACCATCAACATAAAATTCATTAATAAATAAATAAAAAATTAAAAAATAAATTAAAAAGTAGATAACACAATTAAAAAATCTTTATCGGAAATATCCTTAATTAACTTGTAAGTTTTATCTAAATTTTGAGCCTCGCTTAAAAATATCTCTTCGCAAGAGAATGAAATATTGTTGATGCAATCAAGTCCGTGGATAACTCCATTTATATGATAAAAAATTTATATTTTCCCCTCAGAACTGGCATATTATATGACGTAAACTTTCGAAAACTATAATTTTCCCTGATAAACAACTATGTTTATGACGCCCGGTGAAGGTAGTATATTTAAATATCTGTCACTCGAACAGGAAGATCAGCATGTCCGTTAATAGCGATCCGACATTCATGAATTAACAGTACGGGGATAGCCGGAACCTTGCGTTCTGTTTTGCTGTCTCAGTAAAACATAGCGTGTTCCTGGTACCTTTGTTACACATGGTAGTACGCTGACTATTCCGAGAATCCCTCCCTCGCACGTCTAAACGGAGCGAAATTTTTGAATTCCAGCACTCGTTATTTCACAAGAGTATAATCAGTTTCACTTCATAAATACTGAGATTAAAATTTCCAAAAATGCCCTATATATAAGTAAATATGTCCTTCTAAAATTCTGCAGATCAATATATCTACAACAAAATGAAAGGTTTGTACTACTATGATACACCTATGTCCAAATGAAGCTTCATAAATACATTTTTCAAGAATTAAGAAAGTTTCATCTAAAACGTACCAAAAAATTAACATATATTAGATAATAAATAAATTAGATATATTTTTGCAATAATTAAAATGAATAATTATTTTTTCCCTTTTTTCACCTAGGTTTCAGAATTATTTTGTTTCCATTCATTATGGTGGGGTTTATCCTTGTGTCGGGTCTACACGCCGATAGATGTCGCCCGTGTGATGGATCGACATCAGTTTATGACAGTCGTTTGAATTCCTGTAATCACATAGTAACAAAAGAGGGTGTCATCATCTCATTAAAGGCGCTCAATCATACGTTTACTTCATTCAAGAATGAAATGGTGAGATAAGAGTTAACTTTTATTTCATTTTTAAAAAATGTTTTGCATCAAATTTTCTTTGTTTGCTTTGTTTTTTGAGTAAAAGAATTTTTTGCTTTGTGTTATACAATGCCCTATATAAATATTTAACTGCAAATTTACTTCTTTTCTGTCATCGTTTTAGGAGACCATGTACAACATGGTACATATTTCCACAAACGAAAATAACTGTGTTCAACATCCACTGACTCCTGAAGTCAAGGAACGCTTGCCAAAGAACTATAAGGTATGACTTCTACTTTCAGTATTTTAATTTTAAAATAAGTTTGTATATTTGTAAAAAAAAAAAAAATTGCATGCAAAGAAAATGTACAACGGCTCTTTCGGTGTCATATATTTATTATCGATATTTTATTTTCGTATATTTTCTCACTGATTTTGATTTTGTGTTTCATCTCTACAGGACCGATTTATTCATGAAACATATGCCAAACTATCCTTTGCTTATGATGTACTTGAAGAGGCTTCATTCAATTTCACGGGGAATCACTGGATGATAAGAAATGAACTTACAGCGGTCATGTGCAATATGGTCAAGGTGAACCGCAAAATTCATTGCAGGAATAGTCAGCTCAGACCATCTCGCCGAATGAAAAGCTTCGAAAGGACGGAAGTTTGTGAAAGGAGAAATGTTTATAATTGTAGTCGTGGACCAGAATTGACTCTTATTGGTCTGTCAAAAGTTCAGAAATTGGTCGAGGAAATCCTGGGTTTTTGGGAATCTTGTATAGTGGAGCGTCCTGGGAATGGTAAGTTAAAGGTCTTGAAGAAATGTAGAAAACGAAATAAAAAAGCAAGGAGATGTTTTAAAATGAAAACAAGGAAAGACAGACGAAAATGTAAGAAAAGGAAAGGGAAGAGAAGAAAGTCTAAAGCACAAAATTAATTCAAAACTTTTCAACGTAGATCAGAAAACCAGCAAAACCAAATATCTATTATAGAACCATTAATATGTAGCTAGTGCCAGAGATAAATGTGTTCTAAAGTCAGAGCATTAGATTTTTATTTATTTGTATTATTTAAGAATTAAAATATGCATTGATTATGATTTGATTTACAGATTACATATGCCAATTCTTATAAGGTGATATATAGTACTGAGTATTAACAAACGCACATGCTTTTTTATAACATGGCACGTTGCACAACTTATAAATATTGCATTAACTTAATTGATTTTTGAAATGGTGTTTTTGCACTCCTTAAATAAACAGCATTAAAAGTGTATTTATGTTATATGCAAAATACACTGGTGACTGCACGGGATTTATTATTATTATTATGAATTTTACGTAGTAATTTTTTTATATTTATTATTTATGTCAATTCAATTTATATTTTTGATTCCTGTTTTGATTTGCATAATTGTATATCCAATCAAATCAATGGAAAATCTTTAGAAATCATCGCAGAATTTTATTAAAATATTCTGCTTTTGTAGCATAAAGTTCTGATAGATATTTCATACATGTATAAATGCCATTCCGATGTTTTTCGGTCAAATTATGAAATATAGTTAAAAACATTTTGATTTATTTTCAGAATTTCCTACTTCCTGCATGCCATATTTGCCGTTTGTGTACAGAAATATAATTGAACACTATCCTTTATTATCATCGTCGAATGTTTTCATTATTATAATGTCAGAAGTGTGTATTTCATTTTACTGATTTGCATATGTGAAATTATGGTCGAGAGAAAGAGGGAAAGAGAGAGAAAAATAAAGGCAAGCATAATATTTATATTTCTATTTAAGATCACAAGACTGATTATACAGTGCAATTTGTGATTATTACATGTATGTCGTGTTACTCATATAGTTTCGTTTTTTTTATATCTTAAATTGTTGATTTTTTAAAGAACATTTTACATGAACAATATTTTTTGTTTCTAGTAATATATACAGTGTTTTTGTTATCTTTTTACAATAAAATTATTTGTTAAATTGTTTTTTGTCGTTATTATTTTTTGTTATTAATTCTTTATATGTGTCTGCAGCAAGTTTTATTTGACTTGTTTTGGGTAATTATAACTTTTAGTAACTTATATGCATTTATTATTTATTCAACAGAGTGGACGAACAGTTAGGGTATCCATGACTGCTCCCTTATCTCCAATACGCTTACTATTTCTTTTCAAACACTATTTCCAAGGCCCTATTTCCAATGATCTTTAGTTTAATCAAACGCATCTAAAAATTATAATTTTTTTCTATCTGAAATTTTCAGGCTTAATAAATATCGTATTACGTGAAGTTTCTTTTATTGGTATTGGAAGTTTTTTTTAACATTTCATGAATGGATTAAGAAGTGATTATCGCATAAGTCGTGTTATTATTTAGTGGCGGTTTTAATTACCTTACCTAAAGGATATTTCAGTAGTAAACGTTTTAATATTATTTTTAACTTTTAAAATTTTGTTTCATTCAGCCAAAACAATTTTTATCTGTTTAAAGAATAATGAAACAACGTAATTTTAGTAAGAATGTACTTTTTCCTTTTCTTTTTTAACAGTCTTATTTTTTGGGTGACTGAAAATTATTGCAGCAATGATTCATTTTTGAAAATCTCATAGATTTTTATTCTTAATGCTTTATTTTATAAATATGTATGTAATTCGAATAAGAAGTATTTCTGTCGAAATTCAGAGGAAATCAAACTTGCACTATTAGCAATTTTTTTCCCCATAATGTTGCTTTATCTTAAAGACAAGCATCAAATACTTTTAAAAACAAATATTAATCTAGTCATGGGTCCATGTTCTACCTCAGAATCTACAGTTCAAACTAGATAATAAATCAAACACATAACTCGGATTATAATGAGCATGGTTCCCGTCAAGAAAAAAAGAAGAAATAAGGAAAACAGCAAAGCCGTTTTCTAATAGATAATTTGGCGGGTGTGACCGGTTGACAGAAAATTGTTGAGATAACGAACAGTGTTCAAGCGCAAAATCCATTGAACACTACAAATTCTGGATCAGAGCTAACATGGACCTCTAACATTAAAGGTGGGATTAGATTTATTTACTGAGTAATATTTTAATTTTGTATTTAACACACATTCTGATTTTCTGTAAAATTAGTTTATACTGTATAGCCTGGTTTGCTTACGTCACACTGACATAAGTAAAAAAAAAAAATCAATCCGCTTGATGTTAAATTTAAATTTTGTACTTTTGTCTTTTTTTCTCAATACTTGAAAAATAAAAAACAAGATGTATTTGTGAAACACAGATGCCCCCGTATGGCAACAAAGCGAAGATTAAACTTTGCATAAATGAAATTAAATATATTAGTAACCAATGAAGGGTCCTCTCACAAGAAATACAATTGTGAAATATGAAATCCCTAGTACCATCCGTTCAAAAGTTATGGCAAAGGATAAGATTTTGAAAGGTAGGTTAAACTCGAAGGTCAAAAGGGTCAAAGTTGTTGGTCTCTTACAAAAGGTCTAATGTCACAAGGATTAAACATGTGAAATATGAAAGCCCTAGACCAAACCGTTAAAGTATTGGCGAAGTTAAATTTTTTGAAAAGTAGGTCAAACTCCAAGGTCAAGGTCAAAGGGCCAAAGTTCTTGATTTCAAATGAAAGTTATTGTTTCATGAATTAAACATGTAAAGTATGAAAGCCCTAGCCCTAACCCTTCAAAAGTTATAGTCGAGGTTTGTTTATGAAAAGTAAGTAAAACTCTTAGGTCAAGGCCAATGTGTCAAAGTTCTTGGTATCCAATGAAGGAATACTCACAAGGATTACATATGTGAAATATGATAGTCTTAGCATTTATCGTTCAAATGTTATGGCCAAGGTCATAATTACGGAAATCTCCAAGGTCTATGTCAAAAGGTCAAAGTTGTTGCTATCCAATGTGAGGTCTTGCCACAAAGAATAAATACGGGAAGTGCGAAAGTCATATCTCTGTCGTTCAAAAGTTATGACCAAAGTAAAATTTTAGAATTTTGGGGTAAAATTGGATTAAACTCGAAAATCAAGGTCAAATTTGGTGGTACCCAAAGAAAAGTCTTGTCACAAGGAATACACATGTTAAATATGAACAGCCATAGTTCCACTTAATCTTAAAGGTATGGGCAAGGTTAATTTTTTTTGGACAAATAGACAGCTAGACAGACAGACAGACAGACGGACGGACGAACACGACAAAAACTTTATACCCCTGAATCTTCGATTACGGGGGTATAAAAAATCAATTCTAAGGAATGAACTTAAAAGCTACCCAAGTAGTATAAGCCAGGTTATACCTTATGATGTGGGTAGCTATTAAATTCATTCGTTAGATATTCAACGTTCACCTGCATGCTTATAGGGTTTATGTCTCCCACATTATTTGCTACTCAAGAGCTTGTTACGAGTACAAGCAATCTTAAAACTTATTGAAAAATTGATGTTACAGAGATTTCAACGACCTCGATTAAATGCGTCATGATACAAATTCTATAGTTGTTATAATGACCTTGTTAGCAAACATCACCTATTAGTAGGACACAGTTTAATGACTTTGGACCAATGGTAAGGCCTTTGCTTTTCTACTGTATTTAATAACGGAATGTTACGTCTACCTGATCAATTATACGGCTCCAGGGGGTGTGACACGGGATGCTCACTCCTCCTAGACACCTGATCCTATATCTGCGTTTTATGCCATCTTCAAGGATGTGTATCGTTTATGAATTTTGATCACTGTTCGTCATCTTCACCTTTATCATTAATGGTTTACCATTTATATTCTAAGACCCTTCGCACATTCAACACTTGTTTTCTTGTACGCACCTCAAAGGAAAAATGCACTTATTGGACAGAAATATATTGTTTTTAGAAAATAATTTTTTGTAGGATATCTGTAAATTTTTTCACTTCTAATGATTAAATGTTAAGTGTCCTAGCTACGACTTTCATATGGTATTTTGTATTTTCAGTTATCATTGAGCACATTATCGATTCTTTTGGTACAAACACCTAGATATCTTGAGTGATTGAATCAAGTGTGGAAAGTGTCCCTTTTCACTTTTGAATTTTCAAATTCACCCAAATTCCGAAGTGTGTGAAAGACTTGTCTCTCCAGACATCAAAATTGTACCTTCATTTGGTTTCTTCGCTTATTTGTTATGAACCACTTCTGACAGAAGGCATTATTTAAACAATAAAATGTTTTCTTTGTTTGTTATTACTGGAATTAACGGAAGCAGCTGTTGCAGAAAAAATACATAACCCGCGTAAGCGGGTTATGTAATTTTTTTCTGCAGCAGCTGCGACCGTTAATTCCAGTGATAACAAACAAAGAAAGACATTTTATTGTTTATATTTATATCTGTTTAAATAATCATTTAAAGTATGGTTAAAAAGATTAATTATTGTATTAATGATGCGACCGTCTTTATACATTTCATTGATGGAACAGCCACTGATCAAGAAATCTGTACAGGCGACATGCCTAATGTAGTTCATGCAGTGATTAACGCAATGGGTTTTCTTAAGAAATAAAGGAGAAAATATTCAGTGGATGTAAATATGTTCATCTTTTTGGCAGAGATCTTCTTTATAAACAGTTTGAAGCGATTATTATTATTTTAAAAAGTCGAATTGCCATTTGAAAAGCGATGCAATTGTCAGTGATTTGAAGTCCCTAAATAGAATCTTTTCTTGTGTAAAACATAAAACTTACTGCTTTAAACACTTTTCTGTAAAATATTGTACTGAATTGAGTTCATTTCAGACGTTGTTGAACAAAATTGTTTCAGTTAGATACATTAGGAAGGAAACATTGAATGTGCAAACATTTACTATTTAATTTGAAATGCTTGAAGGTTCCTGTTTTTTCGTCTGATATTTATTTCTTCAGCATTATGGTATCTAGAATGTTTTTTTTTAAGAATACCCCCCCCCCTTTTCATCAAGTTAAGTCTTCAAATGATTTTAAAGAATAAAAATATCAAGTTATAATGTTAGTTATAAAGATAATGATATTACATATTAGGTTATCAATTCGTGAATCATCGGAACATATTTAACGTTTGTGTAATCCCTCTCCAGACAATTAAAGCATACGGTTCCGGGTTCTGGTAACTATATGTGTTCGGATCAACGAAATTCTTCCTCGAATTGTACTCAAAAATAGCAGAAG